CTAATATACTCTGTGTTCCCTCTCTTCAAAATAATATTTTATCTGTGTCTCAATTGTGTCGTACTAATCATGTTTTGGTTGAATTCTTTTCTGATCATTTTTTGTCAAGGATGTGCGTACGGGGACACCCTTGCTTCGGGGAGCAGTAAAAAATAACTTGTATTTTCTTCCCAATTCATCGGGACCGAGTGTGAACACTACCGCCATTGCAGTTTCCTCGGTTGCTGATCTGCATCATCGTCTCGGGCACCCCAATAATAAAATCCTTCGTCATATTGTGCGTAGTTGTTCTGGCTTTTCCCATATGCCTAATGTATCTCACTTTCACTGTTCTTCTTGCAATATTAATAAAAGTCATAAACTCCCATTCTCCAATAATACCTTAACAAGCAGTTTTCCTTTGGATCTTATTTACACTGATGTGTGGAGTACTAAGCATTGTTCTCTAGATGGCTATTATCATTATGTTATATTTGTTGATCATTATACCAAATATACATGGTGGTATCCACTTAAACAAAAGTCTAATGTTTTCTCTATTTTTCCTCAGTTTAAACGCCTGGTGGAAAATTACATCCAGCGTACTATCAAATGTGTCTTTTCCGACAATGGTGGCGAATTTATCAAATTAATTCCGCTCCTTAATAGTCATGGCATCTCCCATTTTACCACTCCACCTCATACCCCTGAACAAAATGGCACAGCTGAACGCCGTCATCGACACATTGTCGAGATTGGTCTCTCCCTTCTCCATACTGCTGGTCTTCCATTATCTTTTTGGTCATATGCCTTTCATACCGTTGTTTATCTTATTAATCATCAACCCACCCCCATACTCTCTCACCAATCTCCGCATGCAGTCCTCTTTCGTCGATCTCTGGACTACCACAAACTCAAACCATTTGGTTGCTTATGTTATCCGTGGCTACGTCGATATGCTCCCACTAAGCTCTCCCCCCGCTCCACTCCGTGTTTATTCCTTGGGTACTGTAACTCTCGTTCCGCCTATAAATGTTATGACCATGCCCTTGGGAAATTGTATCTCTCTCGCCATGTTAAATTTTACCCCAATATATTTCCATCATCCAATTTATCTCCTTTGATTTCGTCTCCCCCCACCCCACGCTCCCCCTCACTGCCCATACTCCCTCCCACCTCAACACTGCCATATGGTCCCCTGCCTCATTCACCCAGTCCTTCTCACATTCCTGTAGCACCTCCTCTTCCCGTCACTTCCTCTCATCCAAATTCCCCTCATCCAAATTCCCTACAAACTCCCATGCAAACCCGAACACCCTCTCCTCTACTTCCCCATGCCATCACCCCCCACCTTCCCATGCAAAATTCCATGCAAACCCCAACCACATCTCCTCTCTTGCCCCATGCAGTAACCCCCCACCTCCCCATGCAACCCTTCTCCTCTCCGATTCTCACTTCTCATGTGCTTCTTGTGTCTGAGTCTTCCCCTCCATCCAGTGTTCCATCTCCGGTGCATCGACTTTTTCGTGAGCGGCAGCTAAATTCCCGTTACTTTAATGATCATCTTGTTAACCATGTTTCTTCAGTTGCAGTGGATACTCCTCTTACTTATTTGCAAGCTCGCAACGATGCAAATTGGGTGGCGGCGATGGATGCTGAATTCTTGACCTTACAACGAAACAATACTTGGGACCTTGTTCCGCGTCAGCATCGCAAGCCTATTCATTGCAAATGGGTGTTTCGCGTCAAACACAAGCCGGATGGGAGTATTGATCGGTATAAGGCGCGTTTGGTTGCCAAGGGGTTTCTTCAACAGGCCGGCCGTGATTAAAATGAGACGTTTAGTCCCGTTACTAAACCTGTGACTATCCGCGTCATCCTCACCCTTGCCCTATCGTTTGGTTGGCCGCTTCGTCAATTAGATGTCAACAACACCTTCTTAAATGGTACTCTTCACGAGGAGGTCTATATGGAGCAGCCCTCTGGATACAAAGACGCCAAACACCCTGATTATGTATGTAAGCTTCATAAATCTCTTTATGGCTTGAAGCAAGCTCCTCGCGCTTGGTATCTGGAGTTGGCGACCTTCTTGTTGTAACTGGGAATTCTACGGCCTCCCTCAATGCTTTTATTCATGAGTTATCCTGTCGGTTCTCTCTTAAGGACCTTGGCCCCTTGCATCATTTTTTGGGAGTGGAAGTCATCCCAGTTTGTGGCAGGGTTTTCTTGTCTCAACGCCAATGCTTGTACAATATTCTGGTTGAGCACAACATGGCCGATTCAAACTCCGTCTGTACTCCCTTGTCTTCATCATCTTCTCTGTGTCTCGAGGATGGGTCGGCTGCGGCTGACTCCACTGCCTTCCGCAAGCTGTTGGGGTCCTTGCAATACTTATCTCTCACTCGCCCTGATGTTTGTTTTGCTGTAAATAAACTATCTCAGTTTATGCATGCTCCTTTAGTGACTCATTGGCAGGCCGCCAAACGTGTGCTTCGGTATTTGAGTGGCACACTTTCCCATGGTCTCTTCCTCCGTGCTAAAGTTCCGTTACAACTCACTGTCTTTTCGGACTCCGATTGGGGTGGTGTGCATGATGGTGGTAAGTCTACTACGCCTTATGTTGTTTATCTTGGGTCTAATCCGGTTTCCTGGAAGTCGGCACGACAGAAAACGGTCTCTCGTTCATCCACCGAGGCTGAGTATCGTGCCCCAATCTTGTACTGTGATAACCTGTGCCACCTATGTTTGCAAAAATCCTGTCTTCCACTTGCGTATGAAGCATTTGGCTCTTGACTATTTCTTTGTTCGTGATCTTGTTGCTGCGAACCTTTTGCATGTTCTTCATATACCCTCTTGCGACCAACCGGCGGATATTCTCACTAAACCGTTGGGCACCACTTTGTTCCAAAAATTTCGGTCCAAGATTGGCATCTCTGATGGATCCTCCATCTTGCGGGGGCGTGTTAAGGGTAATTCCTAATTCCATCTTTGACTATTTATTTGTACATTTGAATAGTTGTTGCTATCCCTTATACTTAGGATTAGTTTTGCCTTGATCCATATCTGTAGGATCGGCACTCCTCATTTGTAGCAAAGTTAGGCTGTGTATTTTGTATAAATATTCTCTGCCAAAGCTAATACAAAGATCCTTCGATTCACACTTTATAGGCAATGTCGAAGAAGACGCCGACGGCGGGGAGTGGATTGAAGCCGGGAAGTGGGTAGCGGAAAAGAGCGTACTCCGGCGGGGAGAGGAAGGTGGGGGGTTTGATGTGTAATTTAATTTATTTTAAGCAACCATATACGGAGTATATATGTAAGAAATGAGTTAGTGCACTTATGAGGTCTTTTTCAGAATTAATTTTAATTTTATAAAATTAGTTTATTGAAGAAGAAGAAGAAGAAAGGGGGTGAAAGAAGAAAAAAGGAAGGGAGTGGGAGGGGGAAGAAGAAGAAAAAAAAAAGGAGAGAGTGGGGGGCTACCTGGGGGGAGTGGAAGTGGGGTGAGGAAGAAGAAGAAGAAGAAGAAGAAGAAGAAGAAGAAGAAGAAGAAGAAGAAGAAGAAGAAGAAGAAGAAGAAGAAGAAGAAGAAGAAGAAGAAGAAGAAGAAGAAGAAGAAGAAGAAGAAGAAGAAGAAGAAGAAGAAGAAGAAGAAGAAGAAGAAGAAGAAGAAGAAGAAGAAGAAGAAGAAGAAAGGAGTGGGAGGGGGGAGAAAAGAAAAAAAGAAACGTGGTCAAATTGTAAATTTTAAAATATATAAAATTCTAATTTTAGCCCAAATAACTGGAAGTTTACCCGGAATCGAGTAAATGGACTTTTACTGAAAGGATTATGTAAGTTCAGGGATTTTTTAAAATGATTTGAAGTTTAGGTACCACTTCGAAATTCCAGTGAAAGTTGAGGTACCATTATTGAAATTTACTCATAATATTAATCATTATATCTTAATGTATCTATTGTTGTATATTATTGAAAAATTTACTCCATATAGGACTAAAAGGTAGTACGTAAAATATTAAAGTACATAGGACTAGTCCTATTTAATATATCTTTCATAAAAAGAAATATTACAAATATTTTTTAACGTTTATTTGGTTAATTATGTCAAAGTTTGACAATTTATTTATTTCTTTACAAACAATGTCAAGAATCACAAAATAATCTCTCGTATGACTTTTTTTTTAACATAAATGTACAAATATTTTATCTTTATGTTAGTATAAAAAATTTTAAAATAGAAATATAAAAAATAAAAATAGCATATTTCATTATTAAGTTTTTTTCTTTTGCTTAAATGCAAAATCGTTCAAGTCCGCAAAATTATTCTGATTCGTAGAAAATGTTTCATCAAAATACAAATTTACAAAACTATTCACCAAGTCAAGTTAAATCTTTTTTCCAATTTATTTAATGTATATATTTGATCATTTTAAAAATAATACAGTTGTCTCTCTTGTTTTATAGATATATGACGTAGGGAATATTTTTTATTTTATATCAATATTTCAGTAAATAGTTTAAAAACCAACTTTATTTATGTTTATCATAAAATATTTATATATGTTTATTAATTGAAAGTCATAATATAGTGAAGTGAAAAAAATACGGAGTATTAAATTAGAAAATTAATTTTTTTTCAGTTTTTTAGATTATACGAAATATTTCCTTTTTGATAATATTTCATTTTAAAAAGAAAAGTTATTTTCTTTATCCAAGCCATTAATTGGGTATAAGCTTAGAGCACTGGTAATGGGTTTGGAGCCCCGGGGCTTCAAACCTTCTCTCTGCCACGTCAGCTTTAACTTACACCCAAAATTCACTAGAAATGGGTTTGAAGCCCCGGGGCTTCAAACTGGGGCTTCAAACCTTCATTTTTTACATTTTTAAATATACATCTTCTAAAATTAAATTAATAAAATGTAATTAATTTATTATTTAGTTAAATTGAAACACGAATAATAAAAATATACATTAATTAAATAAAAAACGACAATATTTTAAAAAAAGATACATTAATAAAAAAACTAAGGTAAATTATATTTCTCCTTGATCTCTCTCATTCTTTGCTCGTAAATCATTAGTCCAAACTCTTTGCATGACTTTCATCTCGGCCTCCTGCTCTTTAGCTTCAACTCCTTAGCCCTCTCTTGTTCCTGGAGATTGAACGTCCGAAGTTATTCAACCATTGCCCGACCGATTTCGTCGCGGGGAGAAGCGGAAATAGAGGCGGACCCTCCCAAACCAGAGGCAATGGATTTTGCCTTCTTTCTTCCGATCGGCCGTGGAATGGGGTCCTCGTCATCGGAATCCGCAACGTTGAAGGGAGGGATTTGATCGGTAGAACCAATGGTCTCGTCGACCTCAATCTCGGCGTCGACGGTGGATCTTTTTCGGAACGATCCGCCGTCGGGATTGTAGAGTTGTTGCCACTTCGGGGAACGACTCAAAATCCTCCAAAGATCGATGGGCACCTTGACTTGGTTCCCGTCGTCTTGATATCGGGTCGTGGCAAACCGGAGAACATCGGCGTCGTTCGTGTCGCTCCTCCGGGACCGGGAGCATTCCTCGTAAACTCCGATAAACTTTCGGACTTTTTTGTTGATGTGGCTCCATTTAGAAGTGAGTTGGTCCCGGGTTCGGTAGGAGCCGTCCTTCTTCATCGCCGTGAAGAACTTCTCCTCGATACGATCCCACATCGCATCCTTCGTTTGCTTCGTACCTTTAAAAATGTATTACACAATTTTTTTTAGACACCATTAAATATAATATATAAAACTAAAAACATAAATATATTAGAAAAAAGAAATTTTTTACCAATGATAGGATGCTCGGAGACGTCAACCCAGGCCGACGCCAATATGCACTCCTCCTCCGGCGTCCACTTTTGGATTGACCGTGCCGCCTCGGTCAACGTGCTTTTGGCTTTATGGATTTATGGCTTTTCCGGCGTGTATTTTTTTTCGATCCGGACGGTTCCGGTTGAGTCTCCGGAACCGATTCTCGGTCGACATACCCCGACTGTTGCGTCTCGTAGATCGGCGGTCGATCGCCCCACTGTTGGAACAACCACATCGCGGCGTCACTCGGCGGGAGATCGTCGGGAAAGAAGCCGGAGCCGGAAGGATTCATGTTGAATAGAGAGGGGGTAATTTCAAAATTTAAAAATTGGGAAGAAGAGATTGAAGATGGAGAAGATGTGAGAGATTGGGAGGGGGGTTTGAATTTATAAGAATTTTTTTTTTTGAATTGGGGTGCAACGGCTATAAAGCCGTTAGGGGGGAGGGGAATGGAATGACGCCGCGTCATTCCTTTGATGCAGGGCCGATCATGCCCGATCACGCCCGATCATTCCTAGAGTTGAGTCTACTTTTTACATATAAAGGCTTTCTCGCTCATTATCGACGGGTATATTTTTTCAAATTTATCTCAATGATATAGTTTCTACTTTTTAAATTGTTTAAATTTAATCTCCATACTTTTACTTCTTTAAGATTCTAAAAGTAAAATTTGCACTAAATAAGACTAAAACATAAGTCAATTCTCAATGTAGAACTTAAACTTTTTTATTCTCTAAATAGTACTTAATAATGTCTAGTGGGAGAAATAATGTCCAGTGATTGTGGACATTTAGTTGAATAATAACTAATGCATAATGACCAATAGTCCTACATTGGAAAATAAAAACATATGGTTCTATATTGAGAAAGTCATTATGTTTTAGTTCTATTTAGACAAATTTCTCTTCTAAAAACCTTCACACATACACTGTTCTTATTAACACCAGACAAATACTCCCTTTGTCCACCATACATCTTCCCAGACACTATTCACAGTGTCAAACTTTACTCACTTTGTTTGCTCAATTTTACTAGTCATTTCATAAAATAATATAGTCTTGTCACCTCTAGTTTTGTAGAACTTTTCATGTAGTTTATTACTATAAAAATTTTATTTTAAAATTTTACTCCAATAATCAATTAAATTGAATTGAAAATAAAGTCGGTCAAGCCTCGTAACGCGTAATGGGAAGATCATACATGGACGGAGGGAGTAAGATTTTTAATGAGAGAGTTGAGCCATGGAATATATATGACTAAGATCGATAGACTATGGTTGGCATTATATTTTATAATTATACGTTGATTCTGAACTCCATTAATTGGCCTGGCTACACATATTTTCTCTAGCTTATCGGTTCTTTGGGGTGGGAGGGCAGAGGGCTGCTGGGCAGGGACAGTGGAGGATTATGGGAGATAAGAACCCTCAACACTACAAAAAAATTGCGCATTAGGCACGGATTGCGTCGTGCCTTTGCCGATGGAGAGAAAATGCCACATGGCGCAATGCTGTGCGAGGCTGAATTTGGCACTACCTTGTCCGTGCCTAAGGTCCGTGCCAATTTCACAACCTTTACGCCGTTTCGTTTCCGTTGGGCAACGTTAATTTTTAATAACTTGCCGGGACGAAGATGTGCCAAATGTCGTGCCTAATTCTAGTCACGAATATCTCGTGCCAAATGCCGTGCCTAATGAATGCCAATAATTGTTTTCACTTTTGTAAACAGTCATGCCTACAATGTGTGCCAAAAAATTGGTTCTGAAATCCCTATATAAGAACATCAGTCGTGTACTCTGTTATAAATATGTTATCAGAAAAATATTATATGCATTATTTTGATGAAATACGGGACAATAAATATATTTGGTGTTTCTGCAAGTATTTTTCTGGTGTTTCAATTTGATTATATCCTTTCGGTAAGTATTCTTACTATCAAGTTTTATAAAATAAAAAATAAAGTACTTATTTATTAATTTAAATATGCATTTGTTTAGATTATACTCTCTCCCTCCAAAAAATTCTTTCTATTTGACTTTTTAATTATTTCAATGCAAAACTTTAATCGTTAATATTTCTCTATTTATGTATGATATATATTATTCCCTCCGTCCTAAAATTAACTTCTCATTTGACTTTTCACGGTTTCCAATGCGACACTTTGACCATTAATATCTCCATTTTTATATGAATATATATTATAAAAATAATATATTTCAAAACTATGTTTCAAAATGAATCTATTGATAATAAATTTATATGAAAATTCAATATATTTTTTCCGTAATATACAGTCAAAGTTTAAAAGTTTGACTTCAAAAGTCAAAATGAGAAGTTAAAATTGCAAGAACTTTGTCCGTTTCCCACAACATTTGATGTATGTTTTTAAATATGTAATTTTTATTTTTTATTTCTATACAAATATTCATTGTGTATTTGATAAAATAAAATATAATTCGAATAAAATCACGAGAACTTTGTCTATTTTGCACAACATTTGATGTATGTTTTTAAATATGTAATTTTTATTTTTTATTTCTATACAAATATTCAAATAAGATGAATTAAAAAAATCATGAGATAATACTTTATTTTGAGTAAAAATTAATCATATAGGGAGTACACATATATAGGTGTTGGCAGTGGCATGATTGCAAATCAACATTGGCACGGCAAAAGCCGTGCCTAAAGCCATGCCTATACATATCCCTGACAACATGCTGCATCTTCTGACAACCGGATTTAATGGAGTACCGTAGGTCATAGTTGTTATTATATAACAATAGTAGTTGTGGTCAAAATATGACAACAATAGTTGTCATCAAAAGAAGCCCATTGATGGGCTGATACCTGACGGGTGGCCCAAGTCCTGTGCCCAAAAGGCATTCGGGTATCCGCGGGCGTGGGGTGCTGATCCTGGGCCGGCCCAAACGGATCGCGCGAATCTCGGATTAGTTTCCATAAACTGTAAACTACCATAATTACGTAGAAAAGCATGTATAAATAAAAAGGACCCGAAGGGGAAACCTCAAGCAGAACTTAGCGTATAATTCCATAATTCTTGAGCTCTCTTTCCTCATATATTTTTACGATCCGCCGTCCAAGTCGGATTAATTGGTGGATTTATTGTCCATCACCCACATATGATGCTATAAATACAACCAGGCCGGTTTTAAATACATACTCCCTCCGTCATTGAGTATTGTCCAGTTTTGACCCTCAAAATTGACAAATTTTGACTACTAGATAATAATTAATTAATTAAAATTAATATTAGATTTTGATACGATTTTTTTTATTTAGATTTGTTTTACATAATATTCTTAAAATATTATTTTAATCGAGTCCTAAATTTTTTTAAAGTTGGAGGTGTAGAAAGTATTAAATATTTAAAATTACATGAGAGTATCTTTTATATATATATATATATATATATATATATATATATATATATATATATATATATATATATATATATATATATATATATATATATATATATATATATATATATATATATATATATGGGATTAACTCCAGTGAGATGATACCTTATGGTGAGATGACATGATACGGTCAGATGACGCAAATTTCACCACGAGCCACTACAAAGCTCACCAAAGTATAAAGCAAAACTCACCCTATTTTTTCAACACTTTGAATTTTTTTTTGAAAACATAAAATCAAAGGAAGGGGTGATGACTAGATTTTGACCGTTGACCGGGACCTTTGACCGCCGCCTACCGCCGGCCGCCGGTCTCCGCCGCCAGTCGCCGGCCGCTGCCGCTTTGCCGCCGGTTGCCGCCGCTGCACCGCCGTCTCTGACCGGTGTTGTTATTTTTTTAAGTAATTTTTAAATTTCAAAATTTTTAAAAAAGGTGAGTTTTAGTGTTCAAAATGGTGAGCTTTGCTTCATTTCTAGGGTGAGCTTTGCATTGTCCATTGGTGAGCATTGTAGTGTAGTGTGGTGAGCTTTGCGTCATCTCACCGAAGCATGTCATCTCACTGGAGTCAATCCTTATATATATATATATATATATATATATATATATATATATATATATATATATATATATTAGGGATTGACTCCAGTGAGATGACATGCTTCGGTCAGATGATGCAAAGCTCACCACTGGCCACTGCAAAGCTCACCAAGGACAATTATAATGCTCACCAAATTGTAAGGCAAAGCTCACCATATTTTTTCAACACTTTGAATTTTTTTTCTAAAAAATAAAATCAAAGAAAGGGGTGCTGACTGGACTTTGACTGTTGACCGCCAGCATTGACCATCGCCGGTCGCCGTCGCCAATCATCGCCGGTCGCCGCCGCCGGACTCCTGCCGCCGCCGCTGCTCCGCCGCCGTTAACCGGTGGTTGACCGGTGTTGTTATTTTATTTTTAATTAATTTTTTAATTTTTTAGATTTAAAAAAAAGTGAGTTTTGAGGTTCAAAGTGGTGAGTTTTGCTTTATTTCCAGATGAGCTTTGCATTGTCCATTGGTGAGCTTTGTAGTGTAGTGTGGTGAGCTTTGTGTCATCTGACCGAAGCATGTTATCTCACCATAAAGTATTATCTCACTGGAGTCAATCCCTATATATGTGTGTGTGTGTGTCTATATATATATATATATATATATATATATATATATATATATATATATATATATATATATATATATATATATATATATATATATATATATATATATATAGGGGCTGGATCAAGTGAGAATGCACATTGGTGAAAGAAATAAGAATAAAATCTAGCCTTTGGATATGATGCATTGTGCGGCCCAGATTGCATCCTGCGCTCAGATTTTGAGATAGTGCATTTTCAAAGGTTTTTGGTGCATTTCGACATGATGCATTTTCAAACCATTTTGGTGCACCTAATTTTGATGCAATCCTAATCCTTAGATCTCACAATCTAAAACACCAGATTCATTCTTATTTCTTTCATAAGATCGCATTCTTACCTGAACCAAAATCTATATATATATATATATATATATATATATATATATATATATATATATATAAGTATATAGAGTAATAAAAGTAAATCTAAGAAAAGGA